CCATAAGAACTAAAGAGGGTTATGCACATGAAGGCACTTCTAGACTCAGCATGCACCACACGAGTGCACATGCACAAGTGTACGTAGCTATCGTTGAGAAGTGACTCTTCCACACTGGCCAACTCTGCTCACCAAGTTCCAGTGTGTGAGAATGTCTGAGAACGCCCAGACTTAAAAGCAGCAAGGCCCAGGAGAAGTGGCCAGAGTTCCGTGCTCAGAGAAAGACACAGAGCAATAACCGTGGGCGCGCGGAGCACCAGCATCCAGCCAGCCAGGCATGCATCCGCACCGCCTCAGTTAGCGCTGGCCAGCAGACAGGAGGGGATGGGGCTCGCGACTGTGAGGGCCCTAGCAACCCCCAAGACAACTGAACCTCAAGCAGTGGCCAGACCTCCAAGGGAAAGCTGTAAATGTGTAAGAGTGAGCGATTAAGGCTTGTGGGCAGGATTACAGCCGTGATATAATCTGGGCCGGGCAGGGCCCACTGGTGGGCAGAATGAAGAGCAGGACAGTGTCACCTGGCTCACCAACAACGCTAGTGCTGTGGCCAACAACAGGCAAGGATCAATTGATCCATCTCTCTCTGTCTCTGTCTGTCTGCCTCTCTCTCTCTCTCTCTCTCTCTCTCTCTCTCTCTCTCTCTCTCTGCCTGTCTCAAAAGGGGGGAAGGCCTGCAGAGAAATTGTATTTGCTTAAAAATGAGTTAAAACCATAAGGTAACCAAGTGAAATGAACAAACCTGGGTTGGACTAAGATTCACAAGCCAGTTATGAAAACAACTGAGATGGTGTGAATGCAGGCTAGCGGGGGGGCGTCTGGGGCCCTCCCTCAAGGGTGGTGATGGGCTGCAGGAAGGCAACAGAGAAGAAGGCCCCACTCAGTACTTAAAGGCCAAGCATCAGGTGACACCAGGACTCACTTCCAAACAACATACACAACACAAAACCAACGAACTATAAATCTAAGTATGAAGTAAGAGATACTTGTTTTTGAACAGTCGCAGACAGACATTTCTCATTAAGCAAGGACCTTCCAACTGAGCTGCCACCACAGCCCTTTCTTTATGTTTTATTTTCAGCCAGGGCCTCACTTGTCACTGAGCTTTCCAGCTGGGCTCAGCCCCTCCAGGGAACAGAGTTTCAGACAGGCCACCACACCCAACCAGAAGGAGTTGGTGAAACTCACACAACGATTCTGTTCTCAGATAAACCCCAGCTGATAATCACTGCTCGGGCTGCTGCACCTTTCTGCCTCCCGGAGGGCCAGTTGAGGTCACGGGGATCCAACTTGCAAGGAAGAAGCCATCACCAGAGTAAGCACCAGTCCCTCATGGGTCGTGCAGTACAGGATGCCCAACAGGAAGGAAGAGCTGAGCCGGGAGTGGTGGCGCACACCTGTGACCCAGCACTTGAGAGGCTGAGGCAGGAGGATCACTTCGAGTTCATGGTTTGCCTGAAGTACATAGCAAGACTGCGTGTCCAAAAAAGAAAAACAGGCCAGAGAGATAGCTCAGTAGAGTAAGTGCTTGCCTGGCAAGCACAGGGTCCTGAGTTCAATCCCTGGTACCATTAAAAAAAAAAAAAAAAAAAAAAAAACGGCAAGAACTACAGAACCTATCAAGAATTTAAACTACCAAGGGGAACAAAAAAAAAAAAAAAAACCACTAAGATAGGGCCAACAAGACAGCTCAGCAGCCTAAAGTGCCTGCTTAGGCAAGCTTAGGCAGGGGTATGAGGCTGAGGTTCAGTCCCCAGCACCATATGCTGCACCAGCCCCGCCTTCAGGGTGGGCTGAGCCAGCCAGGAAAAAAAAAGAAGATATATGAAGCTCATGCCCTTATTCCCTAACATGATGTAAGTATTATATACTGCAAACACATACTGATAAAAAGAATCCTTAAGAAGAACTTGAACTACCAATCCCAAGATCCCTTACAACACATCAGGAATACCAAAATATGACTGTCAAAACTGAGGGCATCTAAGCGTGCCCTGTGGACTCCACCCACATCAGCGTCCAATGGTCAGCCTCATCTCTTAGCTGCAGGCGGACACAGGTAACAGTGAAGCCCAATCTGCTAGCATAAGGGGCCGGGGAGATGGCTCAGTGGAATAAGCGCTTCCCTGGCAAGGGCCTGAGTTCAATCCCCGGTTCTGCCAAAAAAAAAATAAATAAATCATCATCATCTGCTAGCTAGAGCCCCCACTCATGAAAGCCAGCGCTGCCTGCTGTGTTATAGACTTCAATGACAAGGCTACATGACAGTTCACACAAGATGCTACCATGAGAACACTCACTCAAGGGGATGTGAGGCTTCCCCGTACTTCCCTGGAAATTTCACTGAATGAATATACGTGGGAGTCCCCTGTCTGTAGCTCAGGCTGGCCCTGAACTCAGCGATTCTCCTGTGTCCACCCCCAAGCCCCAGGACTCTGGGCATGCACCACCACACTCAGCAGAATCTATACATTTTAAATAAAGCAAAGCTCACCTTACAGACATGTTGTACTAATGTCACCCAGTTTGAAAACATCCCTAACCTGCCTTCCCCACACCAAATGCAACACTGCTTCCTTTCAAAAGAGCCCTTCCAAGTCCTAAGAACAGCTAGGTCCTAATGCCCACGAGGCCTCAGTAGCTCTGCACACCCCAGTGTGCTCCATGGTCCCACGCCCACCCCAGGCTGGGGGTCTGGGCTCCGGATAGGTGAAGGAGCCCGTGGTTCTGCAGCCACCACAGCTGGCTCCAAGCTGGACTCCCCCTGCCATCTGCTTGGCCTCCTGCTGCCTGAACCTGACAGTAACAGGGGCCTGCTACCTACCTCTGGGTTTGCCACAGCAGTCAGGATCCCTGTCCCAAGCCTGCACATTCAATCTCCCTGCTCGGAGATGAAGCCAGGCAGAAGCCCGCTTTTCCCAGAGAGCCCAGGACAACAGCCATGCCTGGAGCAGACACCAGCAGCACCGGCCCAGAAGGGAAGCAGGGGCACCCTCCAGGCGCCAGCTGCCGCTGGTCTCCGGGCACCAGCACTGAGACACTGAGTCCTCCTTGAGCTCTGCTGACAGCGAGGTCCCAGCACGAGACTCACAGCCAGAAGCCTGAGGGAGACGTAAGAGCGCCACATGGCTGAGGGGGTTCTTGTTTTTAAGACTCTCCATCTGGTTTTTATTTTACCTGAACACATGGGGTTAGCGTTAATTATTTTTAAAGGAGTCCTGAAAACACACCTCACATGTGTCCAACAATGCTTATTTTTCAGCCAAGAGAACGCCTGCTACACACACCTCCACAGAAGCAGAATACGGAAGTGGGCCTGGGCTCAACAGCACAGCCCTGGGCTGGCCAGCATGCACAGCGCCCCACTAGACAGAAAGCTACCGTGGGTGCAAGGCTCGAGTGGGCTGTACAACTGTGCTCGAGGCTTGGCTGGAGGAGAACACAGCACAGCACCGAGAGTGGCTTCTGAGGCGGCAGTGGGGAGAACCCGTATGGTCCTGCACTGTGCACGCCACCTGCGGGCCAGGCGGAGGTGAGGAGGCCTCGGGACAGAACACAGCCCTCAGGACACCCTAGGAGTGAAGGCCAGCAGGCCTGTGCAGGCCACAGTGCCTGACAGGAGACCAGCAAGAAACTACACTGCTGATAAATCTCAAAGCTTATTCTTAAAATGGAGCCCACAAGCCTGCCAATAAACAAGAACCGTGCTACTCAATCTGCAGAGACGAGGTCTCCAGCGTCACCATTTCCCAGTGCGGCACACGAGCCCGACCAGGGCTTGCACAGACGGGAGCCGCACGAGGCAGCGCTCTTAAGTGCGCGCTGCAGCTGCACCCTAGCCTAAAGCAGGCCCTACAATGAGCCCCAAGACACCTCACCCACCACACCACTCTCCTGCAACTTCAACCACAAAGCAGGGTTTCTCCATTTTAAATGCCTCTAGCATCTTCTCTGAGAAAAGGGCATGTCACTTCATAAAATGTCCCATCCTCAAAATTTTTTAATAAGGATCTCTCCATCATCCTGTGGTCTAAACACATCTTATGCTTTCTGACTTCAAGTGACAAACACACACACTGCAGCTGCCCACACTGTTGGGAACCAGCAGAGAGAGACGGGACACTGTTGTGTGTTCCTGGACGGCACTCCTGAAAGTGAGTTAGCAGTATTCCCTTGGGAGACCCAAATCTGAGGAAGCTACAGACCCTCCTGATTCATCCAGATGCTGGGTAACTCTTTCTAGAATCTGTGAAGTAACAATGCTGAGTCCTATTCCTAATTAGGCAAGCTATGAAAACATAAAGTAAATTCCATACATAAATAAGATATTAGTCTTTATAATCAATGGGCTTTTCAAATTTAAATATGGAGCCATGTTCAGAGGACCGTACATTCCCACAGATTTACTTTTGCCCGGGTTAAGCCCCTCTTCCCCATCTAGAGCTGCACAGTAAACCCTCCAGTGACCACGTCAAGAACTATTTTTGCTACTGAACTCTGCCAGCAAGCTGCTCAGCGTTCTAGCAGATGTCTCTGCTTTCCAACCTCTGGGAACATGGCCGGGTCGTTTTGAGTCCCCTATGTTAAAAATAAAAGAAATAGCACAAACGCAGCCTAACACTCTGGAGCAGTGTTTCCCCACCCACAGCCTCACCCCCTGCCCACGCAGCCTCCAGGGCCCTTCTCAGTCCCTTCTCCCCACTAGAGAGGCTGGTTCCAGTTAAGGTCCGTGGTGCTGGCCAAGGATGACACCACGCAGACAGCTTCTGGTGCGCAAGTGCGACGTGGGTAACTCTTACTGCATCCGAGGGACGCAGAGGCCATCTGCAACAACTCAAGTGCCCTAATCTGCTGCTGGAGGGACTATCCTGCAGCGCCACATGGGAATATCTGTCCCTGGGGTCAGGCCTCCGGGCAGAACAATCCTCTCACATTATTGGGGAGGGATTTTATGGGGTCCTTTTATGTAAGGAATTCTTTAAAAAAGCGAGATCCAACCTTACCTCGGTGACATCCATAACCTTGATGGCCGCCAGCTGACCCGTTTTAACATGTCGACCCTGAAAAGCAGAGCAAAGGAGACAGTTAGCACACAGCTGCAGGCGCAGGCCAGAGCGGCTCACGAATGGCTGCGCAGCAGCACTGCTCCCCACAACGACAGCACCTTGGAGTAGAAGCAAAGCACATCTTTAAATCACGCCAACTGGAACCCATGGTCCTCAAGGAGCCGCCAACGCCCCCTTGCTTCCACAGGCTCACTTCCCTCATCGTTCTCCGAACAACGTGTGTGTTCTTCCCCACAGCAGACCGACCGCTCTTGCCTTAAAATTGCACATTTAAAAATCAAAGCCTCTATTTATTTTTATATTAAAAAAACAGGTAATTGCAATTTGGACCTGGTGGACCCTCAACACTCACACCATGCCTTGACTTCACAAGTGTTATACTGAATTCTCTTTGGAACTGTCCAGCCATCCCGAGGGTGGAGTTGAGGGATCCACAGCTCAGAAAGAAGGGAGTTCCATAAATTACCAGCCTGGGGGCACTGAGGCTGCTTTCCTATGGCTGTCCTGTAAGCCCTGACCTAGAACCTAAAACTTGGAAACCCCCTTCTATCACAGGTGTTACAAACAGATCTCGCACCTTTCTCCTCTCACTCACATGAGCAGCACTGGCTCAGCCACTGTTCGTGCTGTCCCGCTCTCTACCCCTCTGGTGCTCTTCCAGGCGTTTCTTGGGCCAGCAACTAAGAGCTACACAGATACCTGAGTGTGCCCTACTTAGGGACTTGGGAGAGTCTTTTTGCAAGTGTCAAACACAAAAAGCACCCCCATCTTTTCAAAGGGCCTGTGTTGTGCTCTCATGATGAAGTGTGACCATAACTTCAAACAGGAAGAAAAGTCTGTTTACTCTGAAGAGCTTGCACAGGAACTTACAGTGCAACCTGGACAAAGCAACCCCATGCAAATGACACTGCAGGACTATTAGGACATCCAGTAATTGGGACCGGGAAACTCGCAGACGGGCAAGTCTTGGCCCCACTGGAGTGGCGGCCACTTCCTAGGGCTGCCTGCAGTAACAGAGATGCAAACGGGCTCTCAACTGGTGGTCACGCACAATCCCGAGAGTGAGGCTGGACCTTGCTCCCTTCAATACGCGAGCACTCCTATGACTCTGGCAGGCTGCATGACCATGAAGCCAAATTCTGATTTTCTTGAACCCGAGAAAACAAAATAGAACGTAACAGGCTACAGTAGTATCTTAGTTACCTTTTGCATTGTGAGACAAAATACCTGACACCCAAAGTTAAAGAGGGAAAGGGTTATTTATTATTTAGCTCATGGTTTGTAGAGGTTTCAGTCCATAATCAGCTGGCTTCGAGGTATGAGAGGTACCACAGAGCAGAACACTTTATGGCAGGCAGAAGGCAGCAAAGCAAGCAACGGAGGGATAAGACGAGCCTCTGCTGCCCCCGTACTGCGTATCCTGGCTGCCGGGATGAGGGCGGGCTAGGCCCTCAGCGACTGCCTTAGCAAACACCCACCCTTACTCCCAACACCCTTCATCCTCCACCGCACCTCGGATCAACTGCACTCTAGGTTCAGCCACTCCTGAAAAGCCCACATGTGGCCGCACGGTGCCGCCCACAGCAGAGTAGGAAGTGACCCTCAGGCCATTTCCAGGAAGGCTCAAAGGCCACCTCCGAGGCACTCGGCAGCCCTTACCCCTCCCGGGCTTCCTGACGGGCTCATTCCCCATCACCAAAGCCAGCAGAGGCGTAAGATCCGAGACCCGCAAGTTCACGTAGCTTCAGCTTTATAGAGAATGTAAGTTTTCCTGATGAAGGGATTATAAATCAGGACCCAATACAGAATCGATTATTTCTGTGACTGAGGCCAGCCCACACCAAAGCTTTAATCTTCATGACCACATACTAAATTCTCCAAACTGGCTCCACTTTAAATTTAAATTAGCAAACCTTGTAAGAATTCTGCTTCCACCACTCGGAGAGGAAGAAGAAAGGTCTGGGGTTCAGGCAGCCGCGGGTCCCTACTCCTCCCATTCCTCTCATCCTCCCTCTAGCCACTACCCTTCCCTGGGAGAGCAGCTTCACCCTCAGAGCTCCCTGAGGCCCTCGGGGATCTGGTGCGCTCAGACGCCTGGTGGGCCTGGTGCCTGCTGGGAAGCCAGAGCCCGTGCCTGGCGCAAGCAGGACCTCCACCACCAGCCAGCAGGAGCCTGCACTCATTCCCGCCCTCTTCTCCTAACTCAGGACGCAGCCCCCTCGACCAATCCATCGAGGACTATGTTTAACTTCAAAAAGCAAGGCCAGTGTTAGAGGAGACAGGGATATTAACACAAGCTACTTTCTCATTTAAAAAAAAAAAAAAAAAAAAAAGGGCTGGTGAGATGGCTCAGTGGTCTAAAGCACCTACTTAGAACAAGCTTAGCAAAACACAGGAACCACGGTTCAATCCCCCAGCACCACATGCCAGCCAGCCCCGCCCCCTGGTGGGCTGAGCTGGCCACACACACACACACAAATAAATAAATAATTTTTAAAAATAAAAATTAAAAAAAAAAAAAGCAAAGCTCCTACTTTGAAAGAAGTAACAGCATATTTGCAAAGATGGGCCATCTTTGTGACAAGGCATGAACGCAGCCAACAGAAAACCCGAGGGAGGAAACGGGAGCTGGGGCTCAAAGTGCACAGGAGGGAGGCAGCACCAGCGCCTCTGAAGTTCAGGGGTGTGTACTGACAGCACTACCCAAGAGCACACTGGGAGACTAGCTGGACCCCCTTCCCCAGAGGCCAGCTAAGTCCACTGGGCCAGCCCTGGGGGCTGTTACCCCTTGGCGGCGTCCCTGGGCTCTGGCGTCCCTGGGCTCTGGCAGCTGGCCTTGCTCCGGACTGGGCCCGCTGAGAGAGGAGTCGGAGAAAAGCTGCACTGCAGGGTGCGAGGTGGGGAAGGTGCTCTTCACGCAGACCGCCTGTGCCTGGGCTCCAGCACCTTATTTAACAGCCCCGTGAGGTCCTTTCTTCCCCAAGTAACAGACCACAATCTGTCGTGGTTTCCAGCTGGCACATGGTCACTGAAACTTAGACTTGAGCAAGTGAAGATTCTGAACTTAATAGGAGCAGTCCTCCTTTCCTATCTCCCACTCTCCCATACTTAGCCACACTAACTGCACCCAGCACCCATGCGCGAGCTCTACTCGGGTCCTGTGCTCTGCAGTACCCCGGGGGCTTCATGCCGCCAGAGGCAGGGATTACAGGCTCGCGGCTCGCTTTACTCCTGTGGTGTCAAGTAAACATTAATGCACCGACAGGCATTGAATAATGAAAAGCTCCCAAATATTATTCAGGTGTATTTTCTCAGTAGGCCCTGGAAAACCCTAGGAAGGCTCGAAAGCAGGTCATTAACCTGTTCTGCACACAAGAAACTCCAATTAGATTTCATTACTAAGTTATGTCCCCAAGGGGCAGTGCCAGCAGGGCCCCCTCGACACCAATCAGACAATAACATGGCTCCCACTCTTTCCTCCACCTCACCAAATCCCTGCTATCAAAATGTTTTGTTTTTAAGGAAACAGCTAAAATTACTGCCACTCCATGCTTTTAAGGGGAAACATAAAAAAGATCTAGAATTAAAGTTTTTCTCCGTCAGTATCATTTCATCAAAGTCTGTCTCACAGTAACCACAATCACTCTTCTGTTGAGCAACCTTTGTGACTTCTGATTCATTTTTAGTTTTTAAATTTTAGGAAAATGACTGTTTCTTTTTTAAGGAGAAAACTACTGTTGGCTGAGTTCCAAGCTAGGGAAACTGGCCTACTTTTCAACTCTCCTTAGTCCCAACCAAGTCAAAATTGCCAACTTGTACTTGCAAATATGAAATCCACTTAGGACACATGTTCCAAGAAAAGTCACGCCACGTGGTTTGAAAGAGCAGGGCTCTGTGGCAGCCTGTCCGCCTGCTTCAGCGAAGTCTGTCTGGAGGCAGAGGAAAGAGCCTTCCTGGGGAGCTTTTAAATCTCTAGAGGAAGAAGCAAAGCAAAAAGATGGAGATACTCCTGTCTTCTGAAATCGCCTACTAAAGCCAAGAGCCCGGCAACTCCTTCATGCTGTAGGGTAGCACCGTGAGCGCATTAAGATCTGGCTGATGATTAAACACACCCACCGGTGAGGCCACTGCCAGTGGCCTTGTTCACAGTAAGAGGGCACCTGGAAGAGGTGCATGTGAACGCAACAAGAGAAAGCATCCTCGAGCTGGGAACCCATCCTAAAAAAGGATGGCCGGGGCTGGCCTGTACCAACTGCCTAACAACACATTTATGGCTCCTCCTACAACATGCCCTCGTTAACGTGCCCCCACCTCAGGCTTTCACAAGGAAGTACACTGTGACCTGGCAGGGCTTCTCCCCACAGGGCTTCACCTAAGTGGGCGCTTCGCAGGTCTGCACCTCTTCAGAGCTCTAGCAGTCACTGATCCTGAGACAACTGACAGACTACTGCGCAAGTGGTCCGTGACGCTTACGGTCCTCGCTCAGGGAATCCCCTCTCTAAGAGCATCCGTGATTTAGGAGTAACAGATCTTCCTTTCTTCCAGAGCCCAATCCTTGTGTGCTCAGTCTGAGCCCGTCAGGGAAGGGCGAGTAGGGACAGTCCCAGGGACAGTGGAGAACAGACACCGGGGCAGCCCCTCCCGCTCCTGAGCCCGCCTCCTGTGGTAAGAGGAGGAACTAAAGCAGAAGGAAGGTTAGGTTAACCCACAGCTGTTACTATTCCAGGCCATAGACTTTAAATCAGCCATGACAATTATCACGACCAAGTACGCTATTCTACAAATAAATGTTTTCATTGATTATACACAAACATGGCAATAAAATCCTTCCCAAATCCCAGTGGAACAGGCAGGCAGGCAGGAACAAGCCAGAACAAATGGGGAGGACCCAGATGCATCACCAGAAGCACACCAGCTACGTGCTGGCAAGCAAGGACAAGAACAGCATGCGAGAGCTGCTCCTGACACGGAAGTGCCCAGGTCCCCATGCGGCA